ACGAGGGGCGGGGCGCCAGGGCCAGGGCCAGGGCCACCGATAACGAAGACAGCATGACCTGCTGGGGCAGCCGAGAAGGCTTCTTGCAGGAGGTGGCCCTGGGCAGCAGGGCTTCCGGGCACAGGAAGCAGCCAGGTCAAAGGTGCCTGGGAGTGGCCTCCCCACCCCCAGGACAGGCACTGAGGTGGGTTCCCCAGCCGTGGCTGAGGACAGTACTGGTCTCGGTCCACCACCCACTCAGCCCAGCTTCCCCTTGCCCGGGGGCTTTCTCTCCTCTCCTTCCAGCACAGGGCAGCCCCCTTTCCTCACACAGCCACAGGGTAGATGTTGTGACCCCCACCAACCCAAGGTGGAAGAGGGGCTTGGAGGAGGCATGAGGCCCTGGCTGCTGAGTCCAAGGCCCTGTCCAGGCAGCCTTGGACACACATAGCTGTGTGGCCTTGGACAGCTAGCCTGCCCTCTCTGAGCCCAGGGTTCCCAGCTGCACACGGCCAAGGGCCTACCTAGGCACGCAGTGGACCCTCTTCCTGACTTCAGCATTGCTATGCCCCTCCATCCTTCCCCAAGTCCCCTGGATAGAACCCAGAGGTCCCCTACCCTGGTCAGCACCCACAGAGCCCAGAAAAGGGGCCAGGTTGGGCAGGGCAGCAGGAGACAAACAACCACAGAGGCCAAGGCCTCTCACGTGCTCAGAAGCACATGGAGAGTCAGGCCCAGGTCCCGTGGTCACTCCGCCGACAGCAGAGCAGCCACAATCTCCTGCTGCTGTCATCCGCCCGGCAGTCCTGCCCCAGCTCTGGGCTTTCTCATGCTCAGTGGCCACTGGAGAGGAATGAGCGTCCACCAGGAGAAGGTGTGGACACCCACGTCTCGCCTCCATGCCCACAGGGGCCCTGCACAGAGCATCACGGGAGCGGGGGGCCAGGGTTACCCATGGGCCACCTACCCCACACATTTGGGCTCCAAGGCACCTGTGGGGACCCTCCTCTACAGGACCAGCCCAGGCCAGCCTCCTACATAGCACCCCTGCTCCACAGTGCTTCCCCAGCACCCAAGCCAAACCCTAGGCCTCAGACCCTGTCGGAAGCCGAGGCTGGGTGCAACACGCTTCCAGAAGCTTCCTCGGCACACTGCCGAGGGACAGCGCGGAGCATCCTCGCACACTGGCCACACACCCACGGCTCCTTCTGGGCCTGGAACATCCTCCTTGGAGACCACCATCCTTGGCAGCCGTTGCCCACCTCTGGCACCTGTGGCCCAGTCCTCCAGCCCAACATTCTTGATGGCGGACGGGGAATTAGACCATGGGAAAATGTGCAGAAGCTGACAGCTGGCTGGGAATGTCCAGCTGCAGGGCCCTGGGCGCCGCTGGGTCCACTTCTCCACCGAGAGGGCTGGGTGGAGGGGAGGCAGGGGCCCTGCCTGGGCCAAGTCGGGAGTGGGCTGGCAGGTGCCAGAGGCCAGAGCCCCCTCGGCGGCCTGGCTGCTCAGCAAGGGCAGGGCAGGCCAGCAGCAGCCCTGGCCCAGGAGCTGGCGAGGGAGGCGACTCGGGCGCCCTGACCTGCAGGCCTGCAAGCAGCGCCATTCAGGGACTGCTGGGCTGAGGAGACCTGACCACACCCGCCACGGTGCTTCACCAGAAGAGCCAGCTCAGGACCTGGCCTTTGTGCCAGCAGCAGGACACCAGGCCCCTTAAGGCCTGGAAGCATCGTCTGTGGGTGGCTGCTCCCGCACTGTGGGGAGCACAGGCACCTTGCCTGGCCTCGGCGGGTCCCACCACCACTTCGCTTGACACAGCCTGTTCCAGCCTGGAGCCCTGCTCCACCCAGCAGCCCTGCGAGGATGCAGGACCCCAGGCCTCCTCCTGACCCCAGGCCTCTGTGCAGGCCCGGGAGATCCTTCTGCAGGGGGCTTCAAGTTCTTCCTCCACCTGACTGCCCCCCAATTCCTCCCCAGGCCTGGCATAAGAGATGCCTGTGGGCCTCCAACCGTGGTCAGGCCAGGCAGAGGTGCTCAGTGCTCGGGCCACAGCACCTCCAGAAACATGGGGCTGGGCCTGCAGCAGGAGTCTGCTGAGGGGTCTCTGGACTGCCAGGGTCCCAGAGGAGGCACACAGGGAGAAACCCCAAAAGGAAATCAGTTTTACCTGGAATCCGGGGCTGAGGAACAGGTGGCAGGGTTTGAAGGGGACAGAGGGAGAGAGACTTGGCCACCCAGAGAGCCCCTTCCCCCTGAGCCCAACCCACAGGTCAGCTGGCCACCCTCCACCTGCCCAGCTCCATTCCCAGGTCTGCAGGGTGGCTTCTCTGGGCCACAGTCAGGGTGAGATGGCTCCTGCTCTGGGCCCAGCAGGCAGACCAGCCCAATAAACCACCAGGCCCCTTGCAAGTTCCGTCAATGATTAACACATGCCGTGAGGTGCTGCCAAAAGACACCAGAAGGTTCTTGGGAACCCGGGAGAGCCAGGGATGTGGGAGAGTGGGCACAGGAGGGCCGAGCCAGCCCAGTCTGGGTTCGAGTACAGGGAAGGGGAAAGGTTCCTCTCTGTGCCTCTTCCCCAAATCCCTCAGTCACAACCAGGATTCCAGGTGGCCAGCAGCCAGACCCTGCCAAGGCCCACTGGAAAGGTGGCTTGGGCCCACCTGGCCCGTGTGCCCTCAGCAGGGTGGGAGTTACCCCACAGTGGGAAGTAAAGGCCATGAAAGAGAACTGGGGTGAAGGGGGACAGGAAGGCCAATAAAGCAAAGGGCAGTGCCCGGGTATGCGTCCTGCTCCCTGGCCAGCCAGGGAAGGCCAGAACGGACACAGGAAGGGCTGCTCTCCTTGGGCCGGAGCAGGGGTTCCCCAAGGAGGGGACAGGATGTCCGGGCCTGCTTCCCAGCTGCACAAGGTAACGCATGTCCAGGCCTGCAGGACACCAGTCCCTACCTTGCCCCCCTCCCCACATAGGACCCAGCCCTCCGGGGTAGGCTCTCCTCCTTGGGCCCAGAAACCAAATCCCTCATGTTTCCCAGTCCGCCTTACCAAGGACAGAGCCTGCTCTCGTCCCTGAACCATCTGTGACTTCATACAGCAACTCCGGGCCAGCCGGGCATGGACTACACGGTTCCTGAGGCTGCAACCAGGCTCCAGCCCCCACGGGATCCCAGCTCCTGGCCAGGCCTTCCCCAAGCAGAATGGACAATCCGAGGGCCCCTCCTACCTCTTGGAGACTCTGGGGGTGAGGGATCCCCTTCTCGGGTCCCAGGCAAGCCACATGCTCTGCCCAGCCGGGGTCCACCTGCAGCCCTTCCCCGAGATGGTGGAGGATGTTCATGACAACCCCTCAGAGCCAGCCACACCTCTCACAGGACCAGGGGCCTGCAGCTGGAAAAGGCTGACCACTGCCCCTCCGCTACCTCACACGAGCATCCCTTTCCCCCACTCTCCACATCACAGGAGCTGCCGCTGCCCGGCCTCCGGGAGACTGGGCGAAGGCAGACTTCGCTGAGCAAACTTCCGAGGCTGAACAATCCTAATCAGGAAGAAAAGGCAGTGTAAGCAGAGACTTCCTCTGGGGCATGGCGAGCCCTTTTCCTCTGCCCCGCGCTGCAGCTGGAGCCCAGGTGATGCTCACTCCTGGCCTGCACCCTGGCGTGCCATCCGGTGACTGCCTGGAGGCACCGTGCCTTGGCAGGTGGGGCTCCTGGACCAAGAGCTAACAGCGAAGGTCTTCTCCAGCATCTGCTTGGGGTCTTGGGGTCCACGCTCTCTCCCCCACCCTCAGCATCACACGTAGTTTGGGGTCTGGTGGGGGAGTGCTGGGAGGCAGGCAGTCCATCCACACAGCATGCCCACCAGCCTGCTATTTCTAGAACATTTTCACAGCAGGGCTGGACTCAGGTGGGGTCCCTTAGGGTCACTGCACACAAATGTTCCCCAAATCCCCAGATGCTGTAGCTACGGCTGCCGCAGAGCCTCCACCTCCCCCAGACCTGCCCTTCCTGCTGTGGAAGGTCCCACTTCTCTTCACAAGCAGGAGAGCTACCTGAGCCAGCTCCTGCTACAACCTGGGGCCCTGGCGACAAGCACAGTGGGGGTGAACAGGTCCCTGGGCACCTCCCAGGCCCAGCCCAGGCAGCAGAACTAAGCACACTCCACCCGTGGAGGCCACCAGAAGGCCACCCCAGGCAGCCCTAAAGGAGCCCCACAGCAATCAGTGAGGGGACATCTGAGCAGACTCACAGGCCAGAGGTTGGCAAGACACCAAGAAGCCACTGGCTGGGCAGCCAGGAAGTAGCACCACAGGACGGCAGGGGAGGCAGCAAGGAGAGCAGCCTGACCCTTCTGGGAGGTAACTTCCTGTGCCCCTGTCCTTGAGAATTCAAGTGCCAAGCCTGCGCCCCGCCCACAGGAGTGGGAACCACCTGGAGCAGCAAGGGCCAGGTGCTGCTGCCAGCCCTCTTCCTCACGGAGCACAGCCTCCTTTGATGGAAGCCTGAAAACCGGCCCCTCTGCACCCTCCCAGGTTTTATGAGCTTGGGTTTATGAGGACCCGTGGGTACTCTGCAGCCCCAGGGGAAGGCCTGTGCACCTGCCGGCCAGACTGAGACCCACCTGGGCCTCCAAGGTCTGAGCATCCGTACCTCCTCTTCTGGGGGCTCCTGAGGCTCCTCTCCCTGCCAACCCAGGGGAATTCTCTCGCTGCACCCAAGGGTGAGCGCTCCTTCTCTTCCCAGAGTATTTCCACTGGACAGCCCTCCAGGGAGGAGCGAGCCAACCTCTGGTCGGGGCACCCCTCCCCACGCCCAAGGGCAGGGCCTTGAGAAGTCCCCCCTTGACCAGCAATGTCCCTGAACTTCATGGGACCTGAAACAAACTTGTTTCCCCGTTAACACCTCCCTCCCCTCGCGGCTGCCCGGGGTCAAGGCTGGGGCGGGGGTCCAGCGGAGCAGGGAGCCAGAGACTACGCTGCCCTGCCAGCCCCTCCGCAGGTGTCCGGGGCGACTCGCGGTACTCACACAGCGAAGTGGTAGACGAAGCACTTCCAGCCCGTGGGGCGCTCGAGGAAGTTGTAGACGCGGCCCTGGACGTGGGTGCGCGCGAGCAGCGGGCGGCGCACGCTGTAGATGGAGACCCGCGGGTCGAGGCTCACTGGCGGCCGCGGGCCGAGG